CTCTGGCAGTGGGAATCCATTCCCCCTTGTCCTGTCACTCCACGCCCTTGTCCAAAGTCCCTCTCCAGCTCTCTTGGAGGCCCTTTATGCCCCAGAAGGTTTCCCCAGAGCCTTCTCTTCTCCAGGCTGAACTCCCCCAGCTCTCCCAGTGCAATGGGAGTCACTGATCCATAGACAGGGGTCCTTCATTGAACTGGGCTCACTAAGAAATTGCATTTAAAGGAGGCAGAATGGCTGTTCCAACACCTGAGCCAGTCCTTCTCCCATCCTCCTTTCCTCCAGGTCCAGCTCGGTCCTGCTGGAGCACGAGATCACCCTGGATGGGACGATCGTCAGCGCAGCCTTTGACGACTCCCTGGAAATGGGCATTGTGGGCACCACAGCAGGAACCCTGTGGTACATCAACTGGCTGGAGAGCACGAGCATCCGGCTCATCAGCGGCCACAAGAGCAAGGTCAGAGGGGCTGGGCCAGCTTTGAATTTTGCTGTTGCTTTGGGATGTCTTTATGCTGCGGGAAAAAGTGTTCAAATGGTAGAAGAGAAGGAATTTTACGTTGACCTGTGGTACACAGTGCCTGGTCCTACCTCTGGGGTTAGGTTTGTGAACCCCTTTGGGGTTAGGTTTATTAACTGTTTGGGGCTAGGTTTCCTGTTTTCCATGACAAGCCCAGCTGTCATAGAATCATAGAATTTTCCATGTAGGTTGTGGTGGGGGCTGGATGTGCAGCCTTTCCATGAAAACATCCCCTCTCCTCCTCTGCTAGGCTTCTTCGCCTACTCCTGTGGCTGCGTCATCGTGGTTGAAGACCTGCACTCGGGGTCCCAGAACCACTGGCTGGGCCATGCTGAGGAGATCTCCACGCTCGCCCTCAGCCACGACGCCCAGGTATGAGGGCCTGCTGCTGCCTGGGGCTGGGGGTTATCCCTGGCACTGTGGGCCAAAGGGATGTCACGGACTACAATCCCATTTGTCAGTTCTTCCTGCTGCCTGGAGGCTGTGGAAATCATTTTGGAGCATAGTTATCTGTCGTGTTGGCAGTACCTCACCTCAGGGAGGGGCTGGAGCGTGTCCAGAGAAGGGAACAGAGCTGTGGAAGGGGCTGGAGAGTCAGACACATGAGGCAAGACTGAGGGAGCTGGGGGAGCTCAGCCTGGAGAAAAGGAGGCTCAGCAGGGACCTTCTCACTCTCCAGCTCCCTGGCAGGAGGGGGGAGTCAGATGGGGGTCGGGCTCTGCTCCCAGGGAACAAGGGACAGGACAAGAAGAAATGGCCTCAAGCTGTGCTAGGGGAGGGTCAGGAGGAATTTCTTCCTGGAAAGGGTGGTCAGGCATTGGAAGGCACTGCCCAGGGAGGTGGTGGATTCCCCACCCCTGGAGGTGTCCAAGGAACGGCTGGATGTGGCACTCAGAGCTCTGGGCTGGGTGACAAGGTGGGGATGGGGCACAGGTTGGACTTGATGACCTTGTGATTCTGTAAAGGCTGCTCCCCTCCTCTGGGTGATGCTGCCATTCCCTCCTGCCACCAAACTGAATGGCTGTTCTCACAGAATTCTCCATCTGCCAACCATACCACTTTAGTTTGGGACTAATATTGCTAAGACTCGTTAATGAGTATTCTCTAATTACTTACTGAGGTCTCAGTGACAATACATTGTTCTGTTAGGTTCTTGCCTCTGCCTCAGGGAAGAAGGATGGAGACTCCCACTGTCAGATCTGCATCTGGAGCATCCCAGATGGGGCCTGCACAGCAGAGCTCTTCCACCACGAGACACAAGTACAAGCCATGGCATTCTCTCGGGATGACAAATTCCTTGTCACCATAGGTGAGCACACCTGTAACACCAGGTGTGGGTGCAGGGGTGCACCCTGGAGCAGACAGCTCATGGGAGGGAGGTGCTGGAAGCACTAAATACCTGCCAGATGGGTATGAGGCTCGTGGGGATGAAGCTGTATTGTGGTATCCTTGGGACAGCGGGTAAAGCTGCACTTTCCTCTCCTGACTCACTAGTGCTCCTTAAACCCTGTGTGAATGGTTTGTGGTTACTATATTTACTGTTCAAAGGGAAGAGCCTTCTTCTGGACTTGTTATTGCTGCTTAGGTGGAATTGGATAGAAGTAGCAAGGCTTCCAACTGTGAGCCTCCTGCCAGGCAGCCATGCCAGCACAGGATGGACACTCAAGCTGTCTGTTTTGTTTAGGCAGGGGACTTTTAAAGCACAACATGCAACTAGTAAGCCCTTGTTTTGCATGAGAGGGGACCTGTGGAGCAGGCAATACGCTTGCTCTGGGCTGGTGAGCCCACCCTTGGAAAAAAAAGTAGGCTTTGCTGGACAGAAAGAGAGCTGCGTGCTCTCCATGGAGCATCAGGGCAGAGGAGCCTCCTCTTCCAGCTCCAGACTGGGCTGCAGGGAGAGAAAAGCTGAAAGTCTCCACTGGGCTTGTGGAGCCTAGGAAAGGCAGCAGGAGAGTGCTGTCCTCCAGAGCTGTCTGGGAGCTGGGGAATTTGCCATCACGGAAGCCAGTGCCTTCTGCTCCCACCCAGCTACAGTGTCTTCCACTGAGGTCAGCTCCCACCTCACCTGTGACCTTGGCAAAGGTGACATCCCTTTCCTATTCAATACCAGGTTAGCCCTGAGTGCCCAGTGTCACTGGAGGGTTTGTCTGGGTGTGCAGTGACTCCCAAGGATGTAGAGGCAGCAGAAAGGTTGCTGTGCCTGCTGCAATCCCAGCCACTGGCTGCACACCCCACTGCCAGCATGGGTCTGCTGCAACCTCCTGCATGAAGTGCTGGGCCAGCTCTGTCTGTCCTTAACTCAGTCAAGGATCTGTCGTGTCATGCAGCTTTTGCTGAGCACATGAGGGGTTGTGTCCATGCCTGGAGCAGTGTTTGGGACAGTTGTGTCCGAACAGCTGGATGGGGAAGTGACACAGGCAATGTGTGTGTGCAGTGTGGATGCTTTTGAGCATCTCGAGGCTGCAGAATTCCTCCTGTTTTTCACATTCTCCTTAGGGGACTACAGTGACCAGAGCATTGCTTTGTGGAGCACCTACACGTACCAGCTCCTCCTGTCCACTTGTGTCTCGGAGCCAGTTCATGACGTGGCTTTCAGCCCTGTGTCTCACCAAGACCTAGCCTGTGTGGGGAGAGGAGCTGTGATGTTTTGGCTGCTGGAGCAGCAGGGAGCTGCTGTCAACCTCAAGGTAAACCTCCGTTTTACGTTTCAAAATGTATTTTTAGCATCTCTGACTTCTTTTCCAAGCCACTGGTGAGGGCAATGGAGGCTCTGCCCCCACAGCTCTGAGAGAGCTGAGGATTTCTTGTGACTTTGGCTGTCCATGAGAACCTTTTGGTGGTATTGGAGACATTAACTGCAAGAACTGAGGGGAGGAGGAGGGGTTTCTTTCCTGATGTGGGTAAGAACCATATTTTCTTTGACATGCCTGTTTTTTGTGCTCTGGCAGGTTCATCAGGCCCCTGCCCCGGACGTGCTGGGGCTGGTGGAGCTCACGTCTCTCTGTTATGGTGCCGACACTCTTCTTTACAGTGGGACCAACTCAGGCCAGATCTGTGTGTGGGACACTGAGACCAATTGTTGCTTCATGACATGGGAGGCTGACGAGGGCGAGATCGGTGGGTGCTGAGTCAGGGGGGTCAGGGAATGTGTGGGGAACGAAGAGCTGTGAGCTTGCCCAGAAAACCAGTTTGCTGTGTCAGATGCAAGATGTGTGGGGTGACAATGGATCCGTGACCCGGGTTTCCTTGGGGTCCTGGGTTCCCTGGGAGGTTCACCTTGTTATATCAGAATCATTAAGGTTGGAAAAGGTCTCTAAGATCATCAAGTCCAACCATTAACCCAGCACTGCCAGATCCACCACTGACCCATGTCCCTAAATGCCACATCCACGTGCTTTTTGAACACTTCATGGGACCGTGATTCCACCACTGCCCTGTTCCAAAGCTCCTACAGACCCCTGGTCTGTAAAACACTGGGTATTGGCTGTAGAACCCCCCCTACTTTTCCTGCTGGAGTGCATCAGTGGCCTGGCTGTCAGGGGCTCGCTTGGGGTGCTGGCTGAGAGCAGTGGATATTCACAGGTGCCCCCATCCCCCTGTGCCCCCAGGGGTGCTGCTGTGTCGGCACGACAGGCTGGTGAGCGGCAGCAACACGAAGCGCATCCGCCTGTGGGCAGTGGGCAGCGTGCAGGAGCTGAGGCTGAAAGGGCCCGATGCCAGGTAGGCGGTCGTGGCCCCTCACCTGGCAGCTCCCAGGACCTGTCTCAGAGGTGGCTCTTCACAGACAGACGTCGCCCTGCTCCTGAGCTCTTCATCCTTAGCTTTTCCTCTCCACCCCGCGGCTGCTGATTCTTTCTCTCTGGATCTTTTGACTGAATTTTTGCCACAGGTAGCTGAACCCTCTTAATACTGGAAGTGGGTGGAGATTATCATGCCTGAAATTTGTGTCAGGGGTTTGTAGGAATTCCTTTAGGAGAATTAGGGAAAATACATTGCCTTTGTTTCTTCTCTCACGCTATTGCATCCTTCATTTTCTTTCTTCCCTATAAAAGATGGTTGCAGTGCAAATCATAGAATCATGGAATGATTTGGGTTGGAAGGAACCTTCAAGACCATCCCATTCCAACCCCCTGCCATGGGCAGGGACACCTTCCACTAGACCAAGTTGCTCCAAGCCCCGTCCAACCTGGCCTTGGACACTTCCAGGGATGGGGCAGCCACAACTTCTCTGGGCAACCTGTGCCAGGGCCTCCCCACCCTCACAGACAGGAATTCCTTCACAATATCCCATCTAACC